TGCATTCCACGCGATGTTTACCACTTGCCTGCCCTCCATTGTTTCCACCAAGGGGCTGGCGATTTCAGCAAACTTGGGGATAAACCGCCTATAATAACTGGCTAGCCCCAAAAAGGCATGCATCTGCTTCTTGGTTGTTGGAGCCATGTATTCTCTAATGGCAGCCACTTTATCTGCGAGGGGCCTCACCCGGCCTTGCCCCACTACAAACCCCAGATACTTAGTCTCTTCCTTGCCCAGGGCACACTTCTTGGGGTTGGCCGTTAATCCCAGTTGCCTTAGCTCGAGCAGAATGGCACGGAGAGCCTTTAAATGCTGCTCCCAAGTCTCGGTATAGATGACGATATCGTCTATATATGCAGCGGCATACCCTTGATGGGGGGCGAGGAGACAGTCCATCAATCTTTGAAATGTGGCTGTGGCCCCACTAAGCCTGAAGGGCATTCTCTTGAATTCAAAGAGGCCCCAGGGGGTACCGAATGCCGTCTTTGGCTGATCTTCCTTTCGTAAAGGGATCTGCCAATACCCTTTTGACAGATCCAGGGTTGAAATAAATTTCGCTTGCCCTATACGCTCCACCCGTTCACTAATTTGAGGCATGGGGAATGCGTCAAATTGGGTTAGGGTGTTTACCTTTCTGAAGTCAACACAGAGCCGCAGGCTTCCATCAGGCTTCTCGACGGCCACTAAGGGGCTACGCCACGGACTACGGGACGGTGTAATGATCCCTTGTGCCAACATTTTTTCTAATTCTTCTCTAATGGGCTGGCTTTTATGATAAGGGATCCTGCGCCACTTCTCCCTTGCTATTTGTCCTTCTTTGGTTACAATTCGATGCTCCACCCCAGCCGCCTTTCCTGGCAGACCCGTAAAGACATCGCTGAATTTTCTCACCAGGTCCATCAGTTGTTGGTGTTGTTTACTTCCCAACTGACTCCCTAACGGTATGAGGGCCCCTTCTTTGGGGTTGCCAAGCTGGTCTTGGACTTGTATCCCAAATTCTTCTGCCTCAGGGTCAGGGGAGATCAACAGCGCCTCTGCCTCATGCCATTCTTTCAAGAGATTAATGTGGTAGATCTGCCACTCCCTCTTTGGCCCAGGTCATAGTACTTCGTAATCGACGGGGCCCACTCTCCGGACTACGGAGAATGGCCTCTGCCAATATGTTAAGAATTTACTGTTCGAGCTGGGCAGCAGGACAAGTACCTTCTGCCCCACC